GTTAGCCAGGATGGTCTCGATCTCCTGACCTCGTGATCCGCCCGTCTCGGCCTCCCAAAGTGCTGGGATTACAGTCTTGAGCCACCGCGCCCGGCCTCTGTCACATTTCTAATGGTCAAAAGTTTTTACTCCCTGTTCTGGGAAATTGGAGAGGCATTTCTGTAGAGTCCATTGCACAGTGCCATGCGTATGCTCAGTGATTAGTAATCTGCTGCTGCTGCAAATCAAATGACTCCAAAGTTAGGAGTTTAAAACAACAAACATATACTGTCTCTGGGGCAGGAATTTGTGTGTGACTTAGCTGGGTGCTTGCAGCTCAGGGTCTCTCTCGGGGCTGCAGTCATTTTAGGGCCCCACGTGGGGAGAATCTGCTTCCAGGTTTGCTCATGTTGCTGTTGGCAGGCCCCAGGTCCTCTGGCTGTTGGCCAGAGACATCAGTTCTTTGCCACGTGGGTCTCTCCCTAGGGCAGCTCACAACACGGCAGTTGGCTTCCCTCAGAGTGAATGAGCAAGAGAGAGATTGAGATTGGGAGAGGGTGTCCAAGACTCAAGCCACATTCTTTTGTAACCTAATCTTAGAAGTGACACTAGGTCCAGCCCATGCTCAAGGGAGGTACAAAGCCCTGGAGGCATGGAATAGCAGGGAGTGTTTCTGAAGGGCAGGAGACTGCCTTGTGACCTGTGTTTTCTTCCTGGGCCCCAGGTGGGGCAGGGAATCAGAAGGAGCTGGCATCAGAAGCTATACCTCACTCAACCCCTTAACTTAGACAAGGAAGAACTGAGCAGGAGCTGAGCAGCCAAGGCCACAGTGACTGGCAAGTTGCTGTTGGGTTTTAGCATGTGCTTTTCCCAGATGGAAAAGAATTTCATGTAGGAATTTGCATCCAAGCCTGGTTGTCCCTTGCACATCTCCTAACTGATCTCTAAGCTCCCTTCTGTTCTCTCCTCACCTGCTCCAGTCCTTACTTTTCATAGACTGCACTAGAAGGATTGTTCTGAAGCCTGGAGTAACCAGGCCATGCCCCTGCCTGAAACTTGTCTTGGCTCCCAGTGCCTGAGAGTACAAGCTGGGCCTAGCTTCTTGGTGTGGACATTCAATGCCCCACTCCCCCGGCCTGTTGCCCCTGCCTGTGTGCTGAGGAAATAGCCTGGAAAGACTGCCTTTCCCTGAACTCCTGCTGGGCTATGCTTCCAGCCACGCTGTCCAGGCTGCCCCCTGCCTTGAGGCTGCTCCTCAAGCCGGGCACGGTGGCTCACGCCTGCAATCCCAGCACTTTGGGAGGCCAAGGCGGATGGGTTACTTGAGGTCAGGAGTTTGAGACCAGCCTGACCAACATGGTGAAACTCTGTCTCTATTAAAAATACAAAAGTTGGCTGGGCGCGGTGACTCAAGCCTGTAATCCCAGCACTTTGGGAGGCCGAGATGGGCGGATCACGAGGTCAGGAGATCGAGACCATCCTGGCTAACATGGTGAAACCCCGTCTCTACTAAAAATAAAAAAAAAAAAAAAAACTAGCCGGGTGAGGTGGCAGGCACCTGTAGTCCCAACTACTCGGGAGGCTGAGGCAGGAGAATGGCGTGAACCCGGGAGGCAGAGCTTGCAGTGAGCTGAGATCCGGCCACCGCACTCCAGCCTGGGCAACAGAGCTAGACTCCATCTCAAAAAAAATAAATAAATAAAATAAAAATACAGAAGTTGAGCCTGGCGCGGTAGCTTACGCCTGTAATCCCAGCACTTTGGGAGGCTGAGGCGGGCAGATCACGTGGTCACGAGATTGAGACCATCCTGGCTAACACAGTGAAACCCTGTCTCTACTAAAAATACAAAAAATTAGCTGGGCGTGGTGGCGTGCGCCTGTAGTCCCAGTTACTCGGGAGGCTGAGGCAGGAGAATGGCGTGAACCAGGGAGGTGGAGCTTGCAGTGAGCCAAGGTCACGCCACTGCAGTCCAGCCTGGGTGACAGAGTGAAACTCCATCTCAAAAGAAAAAGAAACAAAAACAAAACAAAACAAAACAAAAGTTAGCCAGGCATGGTGGCGTGCATCTGTAGTCCCACCTACTCGGGAGGCTGAGACAGGAGAATCACTTGAACCTGGGAGGTGGAAAGTTGCAGTGAGCCCAGATCGTACCACTGCACTCCAGCCTGGACAACAGAGCCAGACTCTGTCTCAAAAAATAAATAAATTAAAAGACATACAAAAACTAGCCAGGCCTAGTGGTGCGTGCCTGTAATCCCAGTTACTCGGGAGGCTGAGGCAGGAGAATTGCTTGAACCCAGGAAGCACAGATTGCTATGAGCCAAGATCACACCGTTGCATTCCAGCCTGGGCATCGCAGTGAGACTTCGTATCAAAACAAAACAAAAACAAACAAACAAACAAACAAAAAAAACCACTCTTCAGGGCTCTGTATCACCTCCCCCTCCTTGATCTTTCTGCTATTTAAGTCCCCAATGCAGGGCATAACAAAAAGTGCCAGGTGCAGGCAGCAGATGTCCCTCTGGAAAATGAGATAAAGCAGAACTGGCGCTTCTTCCTGCCCATCAGTTGGTGGCACAGTGAGATGCCTGGTTACTCAGCAGCAGGGTCATGGGAGCCTACCCGCACTGGCACAGGCACTTGTTTCTGCCCAAAATGTCAGGTTGGGCACAATTTATTTGCACAGATGTGGGTTTCTGAGGCTCACTAGTAAGGCCTTGTCACCCCAAAACACACCAACTGTTGTATTCACCCTGTGTGTCATGACCCCTAATCTGTTCTGTGTCTGGGTCCCCACCATGTTCTGAGTCCCTGGAGGATGGTGACCTGCATACTGCCCACCATGCCTGGTACAGTGTGTCTGACCTAGGAGGTGCTCATGGGTGTGTTATGGCATTTTTTCTTACCTTCAAAGCAGAAGGAGGGCAGAGCCAGCTTCTAGGGGCTAGGACAGGCTCTTTGCCCCTTGCGTTTCCTTCTGTTCCTGGAATCTGGGAGTCAGGGAAATGACATTGGCTGCCTATGATGGTCAGGGAAGCCAAGCTTGGCCAACTTAAGCCTATGGGAATTGAAGACAGCCAAGGGCTCACAAAGCCATCAGGAGGCTGCGAAACTGGGCTAACTGGAGGCTGAGAAGCAGCACTGGGCGATGGCCTCACTGGAAAAACAGTCTGGTCTAACAGGAATGACTGCACAGGCAGGGGAAACTTCTACCGGCTCTTTTCAGCCCACTGTCATCCTGCCCAGGATTTCAGTTCCAGGGAGGGAGTGTTCAGATGGTGCAGGACTTCCTGGACCACTTTCCACTTCCAGAGAGGGCCAAGAGGACCTTGCCTGCCCAGTCCTTGGGGAGCTCAGATCCTACCAGACTGGTACCCACAGGAGGAAATGGGTACTTTGGGGAAGCAGGAAGAGGCATCGGAATCAGAAAGTCAGAAGATAGCAGATTGGCACCATGTGGCACACATCCCCTCTATACACACTGGGTCTCATTCCAGCACCGCGGAGACCTGGGCAATGTCCATGCTGATGCTGACGGCTGCGCCATCTTCAGAATGGAGGATGAGAAGCTGAAGGTAAGGTGGAAAAGAAGGCGGGCACCCTTCCTAACAGGGTCCATCGTCTGAGGCTGTCGTCTCTCCTCAAAGGTGTGGGATGTGATTGGCCGCAGCCTGGTTATTGATGAGGGAGAAGATGACCTAGGCCGGGGAGGCCATCCCTTATCCAAGATCACAGGGAACTCTGGGCAGAGGTGAGTGGTGTCGGCCCCTGCAGGAGGCTGTGCTCTGCGGATGGTGCATGAGGAACCCAGGGGTGGGGACCTAAACAAGTACCCACCCTGACCACACATTCTTCTGCAGGTTGGCCTGCGGCATCATTGCACGCTCTGCTGGCCTCTTCCAGAACCCCAAGCAGATCTGCTCTTGCGATGGCCTCACCATCTGGGAGGAGCGAGGCCGGCCCATCGCTGGCAAGGGCCGAAAGGAGTCAGCCCAGCCCCCTGCCCACCTTTGAGCAGGACCTCACCTTGGCTCTGTTGCTGTCCTCCAGGGCGAGCACTTTCCTCTTCCAGAGGGGGCCAGAGGGACATTGCCTGCCCAGTCTTTGGAGAGCTCAGTACAGGGCAGGAGCTGCTGCGGTGTTCCCTTGGCAAATGAGTTTTATTTTCATTTGGGACTTGGTGTTTTGTGCTTGTCTCTGTGCCCCTTATGGGCTTGGTGAACATAGCTCTGCCTCTTCCCTTTGTATCAGGGCCACCCCTTAGCATTGGAGCCAAACAAACCTGAATTCAAACCCACACACACACTGAAGTCCCCATCTTCCTCCTTGGAGCCATAATGAAGAGCCACCACAGTCAAATTTCTGTTGGTGGCCTGTCCTCTCCCCTCACTATGGCTGATTGGAACCAGAATGGACATCTGACCTGTGGTGGCCCATGCTTTCCCTGAGAAATCAGCAGATCCAGCTTTAGTTTCTTCCTATGGTTGGACCCATAACCTGGGAATATGGGAAGTTTTGGTGGCCCTCTTCTCCCTGCCTTATTGACTGAGCACCAGAAAAAGCCAGTCAGCTAAGAAGGAAGAATGAAGCAGGGAGAACCTAAGAGTTGCTGGAGAATCCCAGTCACTCTGGAGTCCCCTCTCTGAACCTTTTCTGAGGCCAGCTGCCTCCTGCCTGGGATTGAACAGATGCTCCTGAATCCTCCTAATGCATCCCCCTGTTAAGATAATCTGGCTTGAGGCCGGGCACGGTAGCTCACACCTGTAATCCCAGCACTTCGGAAGACCAAGGTGGGAGGATCTCTTGAGCCCAGGAGTTTGAGACCAGCTGGGGCAACAGAGTAAGGCCCCATCTCTACAAAAAGTTTTTTTAATTAGCTGGGTGTGATGGTGCATGCTTGTGGTCCCAGCTACTTGGGAGGCTGAGGTGGGAGGATCGCTTGAGCCTGGGAGGTCGAGGCTGCAGTGAACCGTGATCACACCACTGCAGTCCAGCCTGGGCAACAGAGCAAGACTCCATCTCAAAAAAACAACAACAACAACAAAAAAAAAACCTGACTTTATTTCTTCTAGTCATAAGTAAAAACTATTAATTAACATAATAAGTGAAGTGCTTGGCACAGAGCCTGTCACACAAAGTAAAGGGAGCAGCAGCTGTGATTCTGAGGCTGCGTGCGGTGCGACCCTTGGAGGCAGTCCTAGCAAAGCTCCCCTTTCTTATGGTTGGATGAGCTGCTAACAAGAGAACAGTTTGTGGGGCCTTGGGTTCAGAGCCTCCCTACTCATCTATTCTGTCCCTGTACCCCCACCCCCATGGGGTGCCTTGCTCATCCTTGACAAAGCTGCTTTTATGACAGGGTAAGCTGGCAGACTACAGACTTTGCCCCTACACTGCCTACTTGGAACTGAGTGGGTGGTTTCACAGTTAGTTGTCCTTGGCTTCAAGGCAGAGCCCCTGGCTCTGCTCCCATTCCCCAGTCCCTGTCTGTTTTCCCTTTCAAGGCTGTGGGTTCCACCTCTAGCCCCAAGCCTTGGACTCTGCTCTTTCTTGCCAAACCTATGCTGGCTGTTTTCCAGCTCCCTGTGGTTGCTGGGAGCCAAACCCTTTTAAGCCCAGACTCAGGCTGTCTTTCCCCACTTCCAGGTCATTGCAGAAACTCATCCTGGATTCTCCCCACAGCTAACCCCTGACATATCCTCTCACCTCCATTCTGGAATGGTACCTGGGTTTTAACCTTTTTAAGCCTAAACAGTTCACCATGACACCACTCTATTAACCTCTTTTTTTTTTCCTTTTTTTGAGACAGAGTTTAACTCTGTTGGCAAGGCTAGAGTGCCGTGGCGCAATCAAGACTCACTGCAGGCTGGGTGCGGTGGCTCACGTCTGTAATCCCGGCACTTTGGGAGGCCGAGGCGGGCTGATCAC